ATCCATTCGTCCGTTGATGGACACTTAGGCTCTTTCCATGTTTTGGCTATTGTTGAGAGTGCTGCTGTTGGGAGGATTTTGATTACTGATCCAATTTCTTTGCTAAATGTTTGTTCAGATTTTCTATTTCTCCATGATTCAGTCTTAGTAGGTTGCATGTGTCTGGGAATTTATCCACATCTTCTAGTTTATCCAAGGTATAGGTGTATAGTAGTTCATAGCATCTCTTACAATCCTTTTTGCCTCTATATCCTTTTCTTGAAAATTAAATTCTAAGTAATTCAATAATAATTTATGAATTTTAGAAAAATATCAGTAATCCCCCCAATACAGGAGTGCTTTTGTCACTTTTGTATATTCTCTTTGACCAATGTACATATATTTTTATATAAATTATGTACTGTAATATTTTATAAAAAATAGAAAATATTTTATAAAAATATAAAATATAAAAATATTTACATTTTATATAAATATATACTATAATATTTTATAAGATATAATACCATAATATTTTATATAAGTTATATGGTATTTTTATGGATATATAAAATTACTAATTGCAATTTTTATGGTACTACTCTGTTACTTTTTCTACCTATCAAGGGCTTTTTTGATTTTGTCTTTTGTCTAATGGAATGGATTATAACTATGATTAAGAAACTACAAGTTTTTAAAAGAATTATACTAGTTTATATGGAGAGGGACAGACATGTCAAACAATGAAGAGTTCTTTGGATCCCCAAATTTCTATTGACAGGAACAGGCTGAGAAATCTACGCAGCTGCAAACATAGCATCTTTTTTTGTAAACTAGAAAGGATGAGCTGGGGTACAGAGGGCTCAGAGTTTATTTATAATTAAAAGCCTCAGAGAACAACCCTTAGAGAGTAGGACTGAGCCGTAACCAATTGGCTGGCAACAGGTACCTGGATGGACTACAGAACCCTGTGCCCTAATGACTACTGTGTGCTTCTTCTTTCTCTCTTTTCAAACAGGAATATGTACAGTCCTTATCCCATGTCTGTTCAGACATTGTGTGTTGAGTATGTATTAGGGACAAATAATTTATCTCTTTAGTTCATAGGTCTTTAGGTTGAGAACAGTTCTGAAGGTGCTCTATCCATGGGACCACACTAGAGGAACCTCATCTATACCTGGACCTGAATGTAGAGGATGAGCTCTTAGACTTTGCATTGATCTCAAAATCTGATGAGATGAAGCCTGAGAATCTTAGAGATGAGTGTGTTTTGCATATGGGAGGGATGTGAATTGTTACAGTCAGAGGGTAGAGTACTGGCTATAAGAATTCACATCTCTCTCACTTGCAAAATACACTGATTCCTCTCTCCAAGAACTCCAAAGCCTCGTCTCATCAGACTTTGATTGTATATTCCAAAGATGGTAATAACTATATCTCCCATTCCATAAGCTCTCCTTGTCATGTGACCTTATCACTGTGCCTATCCAGTGGAGTGTGTGCCCTTCTCCTTGATGCTGGTTGGGCCTCTGTGACTGCCTTCACCAGTGGAATGGGGCTGAAGTGATGACGTGCAACTTCTGAGGTTGTATGCCACAAAATGCCTTGTGCTTCTCCTTTTCTCTTTTTGCTTGCACATTCTTGAAACCCACGTACCATGCTGTGAGATTAAATCTGACGAGAAACCCTGGTGAAGAGGAATTGAGGCCCTTAGTGCACAGCCCTGGCTGAGCTCCTATAGTCAGCATCAGCTTGCTAGCTGATGAATGAGCCATCTTTAAAGCCCACCTTTGCATCTAATCCAGGTGCCCTGCTAATGCTATGTGGAGCAGAGATGAGCTTGCAGATATATGAACAAAATAAGTGATTCCTGTTATTTTAAGTCATCAGGTTTTGGAGTACTTTGCTATATACACAGTGATAGATGCGCAGAATATAGCCTCCAAGTGATCTCCTCTGTTTCTAATGGCATTAGCTATACTGATTCTCAAATCTGAACTTTCAGGTCAAATTTTTCTTTGCACTTCCTAGTCCATATATCTAACTACTAATTAGATTGTATCTCATATATTTAATACTAATTAGATGTATTTCTCCTTAAGCTCAATATGTACAGCATCAATGTGTTGTCCTTCTCCACCATCTGTTCTTTCTCCATTATCTTGGTTAATTTACTATCTAGTCATTCATAGCAGAAACCTGGGAAATCATTCTTATTTCCTGTATCTCCCCACCTTGAATTTTACATCCTAAATATCTTTTGAATTCTTCATTCTAACAGACAATGTCTTAATTGAAGCTTTCACCAACTCCCATGTTCTATTTTAGTAATAGTAACTGATCTGGGCTCTAGTCACGTTAAGTTCATACTCATCATTGCTGTCAGAGTAATATTTTTAAACATATATGTTACAATATTCCTTACAAATTTCTTTTTCTGTAATTTTTTTTTGAGAGAGAGTGTGTGTGTGAACATGCATGTGTGAGCAGGGGAGGGGCAGAGGGAGAGAGAAACTCTTAAGCAGGCTCTATACTCAGCACAGAGCCTGATGCAGGACTCGATCTCATGACTGCGAGATCATGACCTGAACCAAAATCATGAGTTGGATGCTTAACTGACTGACCTACACAGGTGCCCCTTTACAGTTTCTAAATGGTTTCAATTTGCTTACAGAAGAAAGCCTTACTTTCTTCGGAGGATATAATGGTTTTTAATAATTTGGGCCCTTGCTAGATATCCATCCTTATTGCTTATTCCTCCTTTTCACTTTTTAGTGGTGAATTACTTATTGTTCTCCAAATACACAGAGAAGAAAGCAGGTCTTTTCTTTTCCTTCATACTGTTCTACCCATTTAAGCTTTGGTATAATTCAGTTCCATGTGGTTGTAGGACATCTCCACTTTCTTCCTGTTTGTTGCTCTCAATTCCTATGGGCTATTCTCAGGTCCTTGCCACATGGCCATCTCAAAAAATTATGGCTTCCTCCTTCAGAGCCAGCAGGACAGTCTCATTGCATTGTGCTATGACAGTCTTCTATATGTAACCTAATCAAGGGAATGGCTATCCTAGGAATTGGGATTATGCAAGATTTGTATGCTAGGAATCTTGGGGGCCATTTTAGGATTCTGCCTACCATAGGTAAATACTGATTTCTCTTTAGAAACTTTTAGGATTAAAAAAATCCATGGGGCGCCTGGGTGGCTTAGTCGGTTAAGCGTCCGACTTTCGCTTAGGTCATGATCTCGCAGTTCGTGGGTTCGAGCCCCGCGTCGGGCTCTGTGCTGGCTGCCAGCTCAGAGCCTGGAGCCTGTTTCAGTCTGTGACTCCCTCTCTCTCTGACCCTCCCCTGCTCACACTGTCTCTCTCTCTCTCTCCTAGAAATAAATTAAAAAAAAAAACATTAAAAAAAATCCTCAGTAATTGCAAAGTTTGCAAGATTACATCTTCCTGTGTATGTGCTTTTATCCACTCTGGTTACTCAGTGACTCTTTCTGTCTGGCAGTTCATGTTCCTTCAATCATAGGAAACTTTTGTGTTTATTTCAGTGATGATTTCTCTCCTTCTATTTTCTCCCTTTTCTCTTTCTGGGGCTCTTAGTTAGACACTGGACTTCTTGAGCCAGTCTTTCATCCTTATTACATTTTCTCTCCTATTTTTATCTTTTGTTGTACTTTCTGGCAGATTTATTAAACTTTATTTTTTATTTCTTTATGGATGCAACATCTTCCCATCACCTTGAGCTTATCAGAGACAGTTTTCTGAACCTTCCTCTTCCTGAATAGTCTATATTGTCGCCATGTTCTCTGTTTTTCTTTTGTTCTGGTCTCTTTCCTCAAATGTTTGTTACTCTTTGAATATCTGTTTGTGAGTTAGAATATGAAACTAAAAAGCTGATTGGAAATTCTGAGAATGTAGATGAGACTCAGTAACTCTGGAGCACCATAGAGTGTTTAGACCTGTGTTTCTTTTTAATGAACACTAATGTCAGTATCTTCAGGCTTTTTCATGGGGTTATTCACAATTCTTGGAAAAGGATCTTCCAGTCTTCTGCTGGAAGGACAGAAATCTGGCCACTATATTCTGGGAACTGAGTGGGAAGGGAGCTGGGAGTGTCTTAGTATTTGCTTACTTACTCCCCCCACTTTTGACGTGGTGTTCACACTTTCAGCTTTCTCGAAGTCCCCTCAGACTTCTTCTGGTGGGAGGGAGGGACAGTTGCCTAAACTCTTAGAGTCAGGGAGGGGAATTTCTGGATCTAACTCCCTCTCCAAAGCTTTTACCTATTCCTCCTTATTTTAGAGCCTTTTTGCCACTTCCTCCTCCAGTATTTCTCTCCCAGTGCCAGACATACCAGACGCTGACCAATCCTGGGCAATTGTAGGATTCTGCAGTTAAAATTTAATTGTTTCTTAGCTTTCTCTCTCATGGCTTATGATTTTGCTTTCTCCTAAGTCCATTATTATTCTGTTCTTTAGCTTCCAAAAATTGTTTGCCTTTTCTCTTTTCCTTTCTTCACATATGTATGGTTATCTCTTTTAAAAAATTTTGCTGCTGTAGTTTTCCTGGGATTTCTGGAGGAAATAAAATTAGATGTATATATTCAAGCTGCTGTCCAATCTCAGATGTTCCTCTCTATCATTTATTATATGTTTAATTCTTATGTGAAAGGACTTATTCCTTCCTTAGTTATTCTATTTCATTTTAAATATCTCTTTAATTATCAGTACCACAGTTTTATTTATTGTGTTTTGTTTATTTCTTTGTAATATGCTTATTCCTTGTCATTGTAATTTCATATTTAACTCTTTGTAAATGTCTTAGTTTTATAATGCTTAATCTACGTAGGTACATTGGGAGGATTAACCTCAGGAAATACTGAGATTATTTCTGTTAATATTGGGTTTATTTCACAGACTTGTTTTTTTACTCATTACTTTATTAATAAGAATTAGAGTTTACATCTAGATGTTGGAATGTATCTCCTCACAATGAAGATATTTTGTTCTCTTTTTAAATGAAGACTGAAGTTGCTGAAGACCCTCAACAAGTTTCAACCGTTCATCTGCAACTAGGATTACCGCTGGTTTTTATTGTTAGTCAGCAAGCGACACGTGAAGCTGACAGAAGAACTGCAGAATGGGTTGCTTGGCGTCTTCTGGGGAAAGCGGGAGTTCTACTCTTGTTAAGGTATCTTAAACATTAAAGATTCAGTGTATTTAGCAAAACAGTGTATTTTTCAGTTTTTTAAATATGGTAATATATTCACATGTCAATAAACTCAAATCTCTAGTAAATTCTAATATAGTTAGAACCAGTTGCTGAGCTAAAGTCTGTACCTTAATTAGTAGCTTGATTAAAATTTAGACTTTGCTAAATGATCTACATCAAGATGGAGACTAGCAAATCTGGTCTGTCTTTATGTCTGAAGTTTCTCAGACTCACTAAATTGTAATTTTTTTTCATGAATTGTGTTTAGTATAAGAACAGATAGTTCTCTTTTATATTGACATCCTGATGACTGTTATTCTTCAGATTAGCAATATAAAACATTTACTTTCATTTTGAAAAGGGACTCCTTGGAAGTGGACATTCCTCAACACACTAATGTGGTCTTCAGAAGAGCAGAAGAGGTTAGTCATTTTATGTATTTGTCTACAATGTCTGTTTATTTAAAGAAAGTTAATACATGTCAGAAATATATGCTTATTATAGAAAAGAAATTCTGTAAGTTGCCACTATTCAAAGATTATTGCTGTTAACATTTTGGTATTTTTTCCCCCTTTTGTTAGTCTGTCTCTTTCCTCATATATAAATATATATATTTTAAAGAGAATTAGGATAATGCTCTATATCCTAATTTTCACATAAGATTATATTTCATTACTTGCTACTGTGCTCTGATGCCTGCCTTTGTACACTGTTTTGAACATCACTGATTGTTTCCTTTGCCTAAATTTTTGGAGGTGAAATTTATCAAAGGAAATGGGAATTTTTATGGATGTTTATAGAGTACATAATCAGATTCCCCTCTGGAAACCAGCAGGGTTTGAAATTCCTTGTTCTTCATAAATCTTTGCCACTACTGAGCATTACCGTCTTAAAAAAAAACAAAAACAAAAAACTTCTCTATAGACAAAGCTCTTGTTCTAATTTGCATGTCTTTGATTACTAGTGAAGTTGAACATTTTTAAAGGCTTATTTCCCATTTATATTTCCTTTGTAAATTTCTGTGATTGTCCCTTTTTTCTTATATTTTTCTTAATAAGAACTCTTTAATTCTGAACATTTCAAAATATTATATAAATATGCTAAAAATTGATTGATATGTTTATGAACTGCCAGACAGTTTAAACTTAAATTCTCTTGCCTAAGTCTGTGGCATGAATATTGGGGTAAGAGTCAGAATACTTGAATTGTGTTCCTTCTAGTTCTGGGAATAGATTAATGAATTAACTTCTCCAAGCTCAGTTTTCTCACTTGTGAAATATTCATAAAACCTTCCCATCTAACTTATATGACATTTTATAAGACAAAATATGAAAATACTTTGAAAACTGTAGTATTGTTCAAATGTGTGTAGTATGTGGCCAGAATGCTTTGCTTTTCGGTCAGGTCATGGAAAGAATACTTTCTGAAGCTATTTTTCTGCTAGTCTATCAAAATCCTTAAATAAGAAGTTACAATATTTATTACTGAGAAATAGGTTTTATGGAAAAGTTAACACTCCTGCTGGTTTCCCAGTATTGATGTCTTAAATTGTCAAAATAAAATAATTTTGTATAGTATGAGGTTCAATAGGTTATAAAATAGCTGTCTCCGCAAAGATGTTTTCTGTAAAGGATATAAGAGTCTTTTCTATGAATCTTTTTATTGAGTCCACCGCAAATCTTTTTTTTTTTTTTTACCTTCTCATCAGAGCAATAATGTTCATCCTGGGATTATGTAATCATTCTTTATAGGCAAAGGTTTTGAGGGTCCTTTAAAGTATAGAACTGGTTGCAGAGGTAGTATTGTATACTCATATTACTACATTACAAGCCTTGTAATATATAGTAAGGTATAAAACATATCTGTTATATTGCATTAGTTCTTCTGATTTTTTTTCCTATGGCAGTGATTAGCAATATAGTATTAAGTGTTTATGCTCTAGAATCTTACTGCCTAATTCAGATACTGCTTTGTAACTCTGGGCAAATTACTTGATTTCTATGTGTCTCTCTCTTTTTTTTCATTGTAAAGTAGGGTTAATAATATCTAAAGAGTAGTTGGGTCAGTACATTAAAAAATATATAAAGTGCTAAATTAGCACAGGGCCCAGTACATTCATAAGCGCTCAATAAATACTACTATTCATCCATTCAGTCATTCCATAAGTATTTATGGTGTACCTGCTTTGTTTCAGTCACAGTCCTAGGCTCTGAGGATATAACAGTGAACAAAAGCAAGTTTTTGCCCTCATGGAGCTAACATACTAGTGGCAGGAAACAGATACAAAACCAGTATAGTGGTATTAAGGACAATGGGAAAAAAAGTCAAGGTAAGGTGAGAGAGTAGACTTGAAAGGCCTCACCGATTAGTAACCATAAAGCAAAGGAATATGCCTGTGGATATGTGGGGAAAGAATGTTCTAGGCTGAGAGGACACATGTGCAGAAGCTCTGAGGAAAAGAGTTCTTTGTGTATTTCATAGTTTTATGAGGATAGTATTAATGCCTAGAATCTTTCTTAGTATCTAAGTTTTTAAAATTTAAAATCTTAAAATCTAAGGTTTTTAATTCCTTTCTTTGGCATTTTTTATAAAATCAAACTGAAAGGTAGGAAAATAGAGTGAACAACCATATACCTACTACCTAGATTCAACAACTAACATTTCATCATATTTGCTTCACCTATAATTTTTTTCTGAAACATTCTGAAGAATGTTAGATATCATGACGTTTACCCATAAATATCTAGCATGAATTTCTAAAAAGTGCCTTTCCTCTTCTATGTATAATCACAATCTTATCACACTTGACAAAATTAAGAGTAATTTGTTAATACCATAGCCTAATCTCATAGCCAGTCCATATTCACATTTTCTTATCCTAAAATGATTTCCTATAGGCAGTTTTTGGGGAACCAAAATTTAGGTAAGGAATTGCATTTCGTATGTTTCTTAAATCTCTCAGTGTCTTAACACTCCCTTTCCTTTCCCTCCATGGCCATGTATTTTAAATAAATGGGCCAGTTTTTCCTCATTCTGGATTTGTCTGTTACCTTTTGCTGTTGTCTGCTTTGTTCCTCTGTTCCCTTATGTTTTTTAAAAACAAGAAGTTAGGGGCGCCTGGGTGGCTCAGTCAATTAAGCATCCAACTTTGGCTCAGGTCATGATCTCACAGTTCGTGGGTTTGAGCCCCGTGTCGGGCTCTGTGCTGACGGCCAGCTCAGAGCCTGGAGCCTGTTTCAGATTCTGTGTCTCCCTCTCTCTGACCCTCCCCTGCTCACGCTGTCTCTCTCTCTCTCTCAGAAATAAATAAAACATTAAAAAAAAAATTAAAAACAGGAAGTTAGATTGCCTAGCTCCATTAAACATTTTGGATAAAATGTTGGTTTATTTGTATTTTCACAATGCTGGTTTATTTGTATTTTATCTTACTCTAAAATGTATGATGTCTGTTTTTCTCACCAAACGATGCCACATTTGAATACTAAATTAAGGTGGAGACAATTCATTCTCTCCATCATATGATATATTTCCCCTATCCAATTAGCAAATAAAATGCAAATAAAACCACAAGAGATATCAATACCCACCCACCAGAATGGGCTAAAAATTTAAAAAGTAACAATACCAAGTGAGTTTTAGGAAGGTAGAGTTACAAGAAGTTTTGTATACTGCTGTTAGGAGTGAAAATTGGTGCAATGAAAATTGGAAAAGTATTTGGCAATGCTTCCTAGAGCTGCAGCTACGTATAGCATGTGAACCAGCAATTCCATTCCTAAGTAGAAATATGTATACACGTGTGCCAATAGACAGCTACAGTAATGTTCATAGCAGTTAGTACTTATAATAATTCCAAGTTGGAAATAACACAAGTTTGTGAGCAATAGAACGGATAAACATATACATACGTATGTATATACATACTATTATATTCATATGATGATTACATCATTGAAAAAGAATTAACTGTTATTAAATGTAAACTTCACAAATAGTGTTGAGCAAAACAGTCACAAAAAAGAACAAACTATATACTTCCATTAAGTAAATAAAAAGACTGGCAAAATTTTCCAATGGTTATGAAAGTCAGAATAGTGATTACTTTGGGGGAGGGTAGTAACAGGGAGAGGCAAGAAGGTGGCCTCTGGGTGTGCTGGTAATGTTCTGTGTCTTAACCTGCATAGTGGTTACAGAAGTGTATCAACTTTGTAAAAAGTCATCAAACCATATACTTAAAATTTGTGTTCTTTCCTGTGTGAATGTTGTATTTGAATATAAAAATTTACTACAACAATATCTGTGTGTATTTCAAACAAGTTTAGCTTGTCATTGATTGCTCAACCTTTTAACTCCATTATATTTCTCTAGAAGTGAAAAATTGCATGCTTTGAATGTAATATTAAAAAGATGAAGATATGTGATATCAGAGAACAAATACATGTAGAGTTATTTCATAGCTTTATTCAAATGTATAGTTATAGTCAGGGATAATTTACTGAAGTAATCTAGTGGCCTAAAATTTCATGTTTTTAAAATGTGATAGTTGGGTATTAGTGAAAGAAATTGTAATGGACTAATCCCAATGAACTAGATTTGGTATTCTTAAAATATCTGGGGGCAGATAGTAGTTTTATGTTTTTAGCTAAACAGGCAATTGAATATTTTAGTGGAATTGTTTTTGGATGAGATATTATTTTGAATATTTCTGTGGAATATCAGAATAATTTTGATTGGTCCTGCTTGCAATAAAATTACATATATCCCTTTTATAGTGAAGTGGGACATGCCATTACATGTGAAATGTTTCAGAATTCAGTTGAATAATGCAGTTGTGACAAGAAGCAAGTGAGACTTTCAGCTCTGTTTTGCCATTTTTTTCAGTAGTGCACACTATATATAAAGTATGCTTTGGATACTTTTTATAGTGATTGTGGAATTTCCTTTTTTTGATGTATTTAATTTTATTAAAATTTTTAACATTTATTCATTTTTGAGAGAGACAGACGGACAGACAGAGAGACAGAGTGCATCAGAAGAGGGGCAGAGAGAGAGGGAGGCACAGAATCTGAAGCAGGCTCCAGACTCTGAGCTGTCAGCACAGAGCCCAACACAAAGCCCTAGCCTATGGACCGCAAGATCATGACCTGAGCTGAATGAAGTTGGATGCCTAACTGACTGAACCACCCAGGCGCCCCTTGTATTTAATTTTAAAATGGAAGTTCAAAGATTTAGTTTCATTTTAATATCAAAAAAATAAAACATTTTTATTAAAACGCTTTGTTATATTTTAGTCATGTTTTAAAAAGTTCATGTATTTCTAGGGAGCGCCAGTGGAATTTTTGGTGTTACATGATATTGATTTAATAATATCCCGTGTGGAAAGTAATACACACATTGAAGAAATACAAGAAGATGAAGATGAGGACATGGAAAGTCCAGATATGGGTAATATGTTTTGTGATGCTCCTTCCCCCACTTCCCCACAGTCCTGCTTGCACTCATAAGGTCAGTGTCATTCAATGAATTAACTTTCTTAAAGAATATTTTGACATTCAAGACTATGAAAAAAACCTGAAGAAACCCATTTCCCAAATTACATTTTATCAAGTTGATTTGGTCAAAAAGGTAAAGATGCTATATTTTGTTTAGTGTGATACATTTCATTGTTGCATGCCAGGCTTCTAGCTTTCCACATCTGTACCTTTATCTTCCACATCAGTTCTTCCAGCCCTGCTGGTCTACTCCATGCTTAAAAATGACTCAGGAAGGGTGCCTGGGTGGCTCAGTAGGTTAAGCGTCTGACTTCGGTTCAGGTCATGATCTCATGGTTCACGGGTTTGAGCCCCGCTTCAGGCTCTGTGCTGACAGCTAGCCCAGAGCCTGGAGCCTGTTTCTGATTTTATGTCTCCCTCTCTCTCTGACCCTCCTCCCCCATTCACGCTGTTTCTTTCTCTCAGAAATAAACATTTAAAAAAATTTTTTTAAATGACCCAGGAGTACCAAATGGTATTTTATTTTTATTTTTCCTATTAGGAAATGAAATTCAAATAAATATTGTAGTTGTAAAATAAATCTGATTGTTGACAATTTGGAAGTAAATTTCAACAACATTCTAAAACTTCTTTTAACATATTATATTTCTTTTTATTCTTATTGCTTATATTTTTGAAGTATTCTGTAGTTTCAAGGTTATTCCCCTAAACATTACTTACTTTGATTGTCATCTACTCAGCTGATGACACCTTCATTTTATAATTGAATCTGTGTTATAGCAAAGGTAAGCAATCTACCCAAGGTCACACAAATGGCACATGATGGAGCCTGGACTAGAACTTAAGTGTTCTGACTTGAAATCTTGCTTATGATCATTATTGTTACTGATACTTCTTTCATAAGATTAATTCTATTCTGTAATTGCTCACTTTTCTCTCTCATCTAGTAGTCTGTAGTATCTCTGAAGTAGGGTTTATGTGTTGTTCATTTTTGTATTTCATTTAGTATATACTTGAATGTTTTACATAGTATGATTACTCTAAGAAGGAAGTAATTTATGTATTCTTCTCATGAAGTCCATTTATTATTTTGATCAAAACCTATATTATAAATTTAATAAGAGCTCTAAACTTTAACAGTTACCAGTGACCAGTTTCTTGGATTGAGCTATGTTCTAATATTTTTTCTAATATGTGGAGGTTGGAACTGCTCATGGTTTAAGCCAGAGCTGTCCATAGCATTGTCATTACATGGGACCTGTGTCCTGGTCTCTTGCTCTCAGCTCATCATGGTTCATATATTCCACCCTCCAGTCAAGGGAATCGCCCCTGTGTCATCTTAATGAGATTCCTGTCCTCAGTGGAAGTTGCTTATTTCAAGATTTCCTCATTGCTTCCTGGCTGTGTGGCCTTAGTTTGCCCTGTGGTGCAACCTTCTCTTTCTTCTGACTCTCTACCTGCTTTCTTTCCCCAGCCTAGTTCCTTTGACATCTTTGCATTTTGAGTCTTGTTTTGTTGTAGGGTTTTTTTTTTTTCCCTTAACTTTCTACATCTATAATCTATATTAGCCCATAACAGTGTATGTAGTCATGTCCATATACATAAATCCCCCCAACCTTGTTTCATTCCCATTTGTATGTGAGGATTAGGAAAGAGCTTGTTGCTGTGTAACAGCACAACACAAAGAAAAATGTCCTTCAAAAGGTCACAGAACAAATCAGAATGAAATGGACTGAATTCTATAAAAAGACGATATGGAAAAAGAATTAAACCTATGTGGCTTAAAATAAAGTGTGTATGTATTGATGAATTGGTTCAAGGTAGAGCTAAAGAGTAGGTCAGTTTACAAGTGAGGGTAGCTTATTGTGAGAGAGAACAGGAAAGAGAGAAAGAAAGTGTTGGAAGAAGAGAAGAACAAGAATGGATTGGGAGATAAGAAAGGACTGGAAGGAAAATGAAAATATATGAATAAGAAGCAAAAATTACAGTAAAAAAGAAAAGAGGCCTTTGTTAGTTTTGGTATTAGAGTCATAACTTGTTAGTGTCATGAAATGTGGTATTTTAAAATTCCTTTAAGTTAGTATAGTACAACTGTTATATTTCAGATTTGAACACTGAGGCCTGGAGAGTAACATGACTGATTAGAGTCACACTGCTAAAACTTGCTGAGATGTACTATAATCCAAATCTAATAATACTTTCATTTTTTGTCATATTATCTTCCTCCCTTCCTTTCTTTGTAATGTGTTATTGTAGAGAATTATGAACTTAGTATAAAGTAGACAGAATAGAACAAATCTCCTGGTATCCATTACCTGGCTCCACCCAACTACCATCAACCCATGGCCATCCTGTTCCAGTCACTTATGACCCACCCCTTATTATTTTGTTGCAAACCCCAAATATATAGTTTCACCCCAAAATATTTCCCTGTGTATTTCAGAAGTATCAAGATTCTCCTTTGAAAATGAACATAATGCTGTTAGTACATCTAAAAAATTAAGTTAGCTTTAATATCATATAGCTAGTCAGTGTTTGCATTTCTAGTTGCATGCCCTTTCATGCCACTGTACCTTTAAACATGCTGTTCTTTTTTGTCTGTATCCATCCACTACCTTCCTTCACTACCTACCTAAGTTTCATTTTCTCTTAATATTCAGCTAGTATCAACACTTTTTCTCTCTAATCAATTTAGGTGTCTCTTCATTGTTACCATATAATCTGGACAAACCTCTAACAGAATATTTACAAATGCAAAATGTGTTTTTTTACTCCATACATGGATGTTGGATGAGTCCACTGGTTAGTTGGTCTAAGTTAATGAAAGGGTTTTTTTTTTTTAATGTTTTATTTATTTATTATTTATTTATTTTTATTTCTGAGAGAGAGAGACAACATGAACAGTGGAGGATCTGAGAGAGAGGGAGACCGAGAATCTGAAGCAGGCTCCAACCTTTTAGATAGCTGTCAGTACAGAGCCCGAGATGGGGCTCGAACTCACGAACCGTGACATCATGACCCGAGCTGAAGTTGGTCGCCCAACCGACTGAGCCATCCAGGTGCCCCACAAAAGGTTTTTACATATGCAAAATCCATATAACATGATGCACTTAGAATAAAATCTAAAATTCTTGGCTCTTATGGTTTCTTATGATGTAGATACTGTCTACTCTAGAGTTTTCTCATGCCATTTATTCCTTCATCCCATCTTGCTTTAGCCAAATTTGCCCTCCTTCAGTACTTAGTATATGCTAAGCTCTTTTATGTCCTAGAGCCTTTGTATTATTCTTTTTGCCTAAGACATTTTTAAAAATTTTCTAGCTGGTAGGCTTTGGATCTCCCAATCTAAATCTCCCTATTATAATCTCTCCTTGTACTATTTTCCTTCTTTAAAATGACACAATTTATAACTATATGTTTAGTTAGTGATCAGCTTATTGTCTGACTTTCTGGTAAATAGAAGCTCCATGTTGTCAGGGATTCTATCTGTTTTGTTTGCTCTTTTCCCCAGTGTCCATCACAGTGCTTGTCCTGTAGTGGAATTTATATTTATGTAATTTATGCATGTATATATACATTGATTTATTTTTGACCATTTTAGATATTCAAGATGATGAAGTGGCAGAAACTGTTTACAGATATAGGAAGACACAGTTACCTTTGGAACTCACAGTGGAGCTAACAGAAGAGACATTTAACGCTACAGTAGTGGCTTCTGATAGCATAGTGCTTTTCTATGCTGGTTGTGAGTATGAACCTTTAGAGGAGGCAGTATTAGATATTAGAACATTTAAAGTTTGTGGATTTTATTTTTATGTTCTGTATATCGCATGTTGTAAAATGACATAGCTGTCATAGGTCCCAGGCAGACTGCACATATTGAAAGATTTACTAATTTAGATAAATTATGGTGATTCAAGATAATGATTTTAAGTTTTTATAGATCTATAGGAAATACATTGCTTTTATCTTCAAATAATAGCCCTTTAACTATATTCCTTGAGGTATGAGTGCAGAAAATTAGTTGCATTTGGAATCTTCCTGAATGTTTGCACAGTACTGAGTACTATTAGAATTTCTTATTAAGAAATAACAATTTTGGGAAACCCCATCAATCTATATATTTGTTAATATTTAGATATGGATGCTTTGGAGACATGCATGTTGCAATATCTGTTGAATTTTTTATTTCAATGTAGGGCAAGCAGTATCCATGGCATTTCTGCAATCCTATATTGATTTGGCAATTAAATTGAAAGGTAATGTAATATATGCATGCTTATTTTCTTGATTCTGAGCTATAGCTGTTTGTAAAACCATATCATGCTGAAGATGAATAAAATCACATAAAATTTTAGGTTATTATATTTGTGTCTTTAACATTTCATTAATGAACCATGAGTTTCAAAAATGGTCAGAGCATTCATCTTGGCTCTCTTCATAGAAATGTCTTTGGTAGGAAGTAGAGAACCCATGTATTAAGTACTGGAGGTCACAGTTAATCCAGTAATCTTTTTGGCTGAATTCATTCATGTATTGAGTGCCTACTCTGAGCCAGTTACTATTAAATGTTATTAAGTAAATACTAAATACACTTAAACAAAAATTTGACACATGAGATTCAGTCTCACAGTCTAATCAGAGATCCAATATCTCCATGTTCTTGAAGCTATACAGTTAGCTACTCATGGACTAGCACATTTTTTATTTCCAATTTTTTAAAAATTCTAGCTGATTGACATATATGGCAAAATTGGTTTCACATGTAGAATTTAGTGACCCATCACCCATATGCAACACTTAGTGCTTACCACAAGTGCTCTCCTAAACACCCACCACCCATCCAGTCCATCCCCTGCCTGCCTCCCTCCATCAACCCCTAGTCTGCTCTCAGAGTCAGGAGCCTTGCATGGTTTGCATCCCTCTCTTTTCCTTTACCCTTCCCCTATATTCATCTGTTTTCTTTCTTAAACTCCACAGATGAATGAAATCATGGTATTTTTCTTTTCTCTGACTGACTTAACCTCATTTAACATTATATACTCTAGCTCTATAGGATATTTCTTTTTTTTTTAGTGTTTATTTATTTATTTTGAGAGTGTGTATGTGTGTGTGTGAGAGAGGGAGAGAGGGAGAGAGAGAGATGGTCTTTCTAAAATAAGTGATTTGGATGGTAGAATCACTGCTATGACTGACTAATAAAAACAATCCATGGAGTTAATATTTAATTTCTCATGGGTCAGGCTCACTATTTTGACTTGTTTCTTGAGGTAGACCTGAAAAAGAAGACAGACAACCACACAGGGAACAAAGGTACACAAAGGCACAGACTAATCCAACAGACACAGAAACAGAAAGGGAAAAAGAAAAAAAAAGGAAGGAACAGAAAACAAAACAAAAAAGAGGAAGGAAGGAAGACAAATAATAAAAATTAAAAAAAGAAAAAAAAAAAAAAAAAGGAAGGAACAGAAAACAAAACAAAAAAGAGGAAGGAAGGAAGACAAATAATAAAAATTAAAATTAACAAAAAAATTAAAAACAAGAAAAGAAAAAAGAAAAAGCCCAAAAGACAAAGGACAGTCTAAAGGCATAACACCAGAATTCCCAGCTACAAATAAAGAGCCAGGTGTATGCAGTGCTGATGGAAGAGCATAAAGAGAGAGAAATGACAAGGGGGTGGTTAGAGGAAGTGAAATTGGAAATGAAATGTCCAGAGATACTAAGAGGCTTGATTCAGAGGAAGAAATCGTAGAATATGTTTAAAGGCGAGGAGAAAGAAATGATGTTACTCAGAGAAACTATATAGTCTGATTACTCCAGAGAGAGAGAGATAAAAAGGTAACGGTTGTTGTGCCCGAATCGCGAGTCCCAGAGACCTCCAAGGAGCCGGCACCGATGCAAATACAAAAGGGTCTTTATTACAAGCTCAAGCAGGGGCTCACCAGCCTACAGGTGTCATGGCAACAAGGTGAAGCCAAGAACAAAAGCAAACAGGGTTTTTAAGGAGTAAGGGATGAGGGTGTTACAGTACATGTAGCATCATCACATAAGCACCAATTACAATTACAGCTTTGACCATTCAGTAGCTGTGAGGTGTTCATTACTTTTGGTGGGACCCAATCATGACTTTTGAGAATCCTTTGAAAATGACCAATTATGAGGTGAGTTCAAAGGGCCCATGTGGGGTTCAGGCAAGCGGTGAGAAATTGGCTAGTTTGTATCTGCAGTTCCCAGCCTTGACTCAGACCATAGGAGTGTTTCTTTTTACTTTTTGATTAGCTGAACTGAGGGCAGTCTGAGGATGGCTTTAGCCTTGAATAGTCTGAGGCTTTTCCTGGGACTGGAACTGGGGCTATGTGCAGCCCAAGGTTTCTCTTAATGGAGGACTTAATTTTTGGCTCTTCACGGTGGAGATGTAGAATGTACATCTAGAGAATGGGTTAAATGTGACTGTTTAAGCAAACCAGTGACCAGAGTGCCCTGGCTAACAAAGTGGAGGGTTACGAATGAGAAAAGGGAGAATATTTCTGAATAGAAAGAATTACCTAGAATTAATCATGGCAGTGCATCCATGTTGGTCTTGCTCCAGGCTCAGGTTAGGAAAAAAAAAAAAAAAAAAGCAGCTCTCTAGCGGGAATAGGCGTGATTTGGTGTAGGCAGGTCTTAGCCTCCACTGTTCCAGCCACTCCCTGAGGCCTCGCCTTGGTGTTGTGGGGAGAAACATGCCGTTGACAGAGTCCGTTCTCAAACCAAGCGTTGCAAATCACTCCCTTGGGTCCGATCTCCCTGTGCTGCGGGCGTAGCCAAGGTGGGCCGTGTTTTATGCCCCATGCCCTGCCTCGTTTCCAGGTCCCAGTCTGCGCGCTTTATTGATACCGCTGGCCCCGCAGGTTGCTGCTGCCCTGCTGCCAGGGGTCGAGTGGGGGTGGCAGGGGTGGGAGGAGTGGGGAGGGTGTGGAAGTAGTGCAGCCTCAGATCCAGATCCGCTGGGGTCAAAGCGGTGTCACAGCCTGGGATCCGCCGCCTCAGAGCTGCCAGGGGTCAAGTCCCAGGAACTTGGCCTCCGCCAGCTGCCTCCATGCTGCCTGGGGTCAGGCCCGCAGAATAGGTGCTGCTTCTGGGGATGGTGCCAGGAGCACAGCAGAGCAGTTTTTCCTGGTGCCTCTGGGTCTGGGGGCACCTAGTTCAAAGTCAGCACCCCAGCTAGAACTAAAACACTCTCTTTCCAAGCCGAGGTTTTTCTCTTCTCCAGGGACAGTTCTGTGAGCAGTTTCAGCTTCTCTTTCTTTTCCCCTCAACTCGCCTCGGCTGCCCGGAGTCTGCTCCCTTCCCTCCCTCCATGTCTCCGTTCCCGGCCGCTTTTCTTTCCCAGTTCGCACTCACGCACTTATGAGGTTGTCTTCCCAGTATACTCTGTCTCTTTCTCTTTCCAAACTCCTGTGGCTCAGTGTCCTATGACTTCAGGCCTTCTCTGTTTGAGAGGTGGGTGCAAGGGAAATGCACGGAGCTCCCTACTTCTCCGCCATCTTGCCTCTCCCTCTTTCACTTCTTTTCAGGAGAATATTTTAATACTTTGGGCATTTAGTCCCATAACCTTTCACGTTGACTTTGTCAGAAAAAGCCACTTTTCATCTTAGTCCAAGATGATGAAGAATATTTTGTCCTCAGTCACAAGGTGGCAGCAAATATCAAGTTTTTATACTTAACCTAGTATCTGTAGCTTAGAGAACCTATTTGGTTTTTTTCATTTAAATTAGGAACACTGAAATTCATGCATTGATAAAGTATAGAGTATGTAATACTGCAGGCATCTTAGAATATTAGACTCTTCCAGTTGAAACATGATTAAATATTGAAACCATTTTATTTAATTTTTAAAGTTTATTTATTTATTTTGAGAGAGAGCAAGAATTTGCCAGAATGGGAGGAGCAGAGAAGGAGAGAGAGAGAGAATCCCAAGCAGGCTTTGCATGAAGCCCAATCCGGAGCTTGTACTCACGAACCACCTGAGCCGAAACCAAGAGTCAGATGCTTAACCAACTGAGCCACCCAGGTGCCCCTAAATATTGAAATCATTTTATAGGAAAAAAAATTAAAAATTTATTAGAAAACTTTAATATAAGTTAGTTATATCACTTTTACTGATACATATCAACATTCTTTTTTCAGTTTTATTTATTTTTCAGGGTTTTTAAAAAATTTTTAATGTTTTATTTATTTCTGAGAGAGAGAGAGAGAACATGAGCAGCAGAGGGTCAGAGAAAGGGAGACACAGAATCTGAACAGGCTCCAGGCTCTGAGCTGTCAGCACAGAGCCCGACGCGGGGCTCGAACCCATGAACCACGAGATCATGACCTGAGCCACCCATGCGCCCCTTTATTTTTCAGTTTAAAGATAACATCAAAATTTTCAACTTGGACTGCAGGGACAATGGAATAATAACATTTTTAGCAGTGATAGACCTGTTGAGAATGCCTATTAAAGGGGAAAAGCTACATTTGTAATAGTACTATATTCCATCCTTGAGTGGTATTATATAATACGGTACTCCGTATGAATAAGCATTACTAGACATTTACTGAATAAATGAGTAAAATAACAGATAAAAGAACTTTGTAGAGAAGTCATCTAGGAGATTTAGTTTTAGAAGTAATAAGGATTTATTATTGTATATATGTTCATACAGTATTCAGGTTTAATATACTTACTTCAGTGTTAAAAATAATAATTTGTTCATGAAGAAATGTCAGGGTACATTCCACAAATTTTCACATACTAAGTAACAGACATTGTGCTATGCAGCAGGTATACAGTGGTGAATAAGACAGACTGAACCCTGTATGAGTTATCAAACAGATTGCTAACACTAAATCCAGAGTGATAAGTTTTTGCATCTGAGTAGTATAATCTAGAATTATTTAAGATATAAAATTTTAGTGACAAAATAATGAAATATTTTACAACATTAATCATATGATTAGGTTAGATCCTATATTAGGAAATATCCCAAGTTGATACACAGTTTCCTTCTTTGATATAATATTAAGGTTTCCTTTTATTAGAATGTATTTTTTTCCTCTTAGTAGTTGAGTTGTGTGGTTCTTGTTTTATTTGGGTTTTAATCTCATTTTACCTAATAATTTACATATTTTGGGGAACTTTACATGTATTATTTACAGAACAAGTAAAAATCTGTATTTGTGATTTTACTGTATGTTTTTTAGGTTGAAAATAAACTATTTAGATAAGATGGGGTACCTTAAGCCTTAGATGAGTCTCATTTATGTCATTTATTCACACACTAGTTAGGTGTTTCATGTAGGCCTCCTCTAGATGTGGAAAGTCAGTGTTGAGTAAAACAAACACCATCCCTACATCCCTACACATCCCAAGGAGCTCTCTTGGTAGAGACAGACATTAGTCATATAACAACACAAATGGGTATGTAATTAGCTAATGAGACAAGGACAGGAGATGGTTCCAAAAGAGCATAGGAAACTGATGTAGATCAGCATGTCTGAGATGGCTTTCTTGTAGTGATCACACATGCAGAGATCTGAAGGGAAGAGAGAGACCTAATGGCAAAGGTTGGTAGGCTGGCCACCAAATAGATTTGAGTTTTGAAAAGATATCTCTGGCTTCAGGGTAGAGACATAATCAGATTCAGGGAGATGAGGTAAGAGCCTATTGTATTATGCAGGAGAAATGATGACTGGAGTACAGTCAGTAATGAAAAATGGACAGATATGAGATACACTTGACCCTTGAAGAAGATGGGGGTTAGGGATACCAACTCCCCTGTCAAAAATCTTTATGTAACTTTTGACTCCCCCCAAACTTTATTAATAGCCTACTGTTGGCTGGAAGCCTTGCTGATAACATAGAGTCAATTAACGTATATTTTGTGTGTTATGTGTATTATATATTGTATTCTTTCAACCTACAGAAAAAAATGTTAAAATTGTAAGAGAAAATACACTTATTGTACTGGTACTGTATAAAAAATATCCAGATGTAAGTGAACTTGTGCATTTCAAACCGATGTTCAAAGGTCATTGTATTTAAAGTTTAGGTGGTCTGGTTTCTTCTTAAATTCCACATATGAGTGAAATCATGTGGTATTTGTCTTTCTCTGACTGACTTATTTTGCTTAGTATAATACTCTCTAGCTCCAACCACATCATTGCAAATGGCAAGATTTCATTCTTTTTAATGGCTGAGTAGTATCCATTATGTATGTGTATTTAAATATATATATCACCTCTTCTTTGTCCATTTATCAGTCGATGGACACTTGGGCTCTTTCTATAATTTGGCTATTGTTGATAATGCTGCTATAAACATCAGGGAGCATGTGTCCCTTCGAATTAGTATTTTTTTATCCTTTGGGTAAATATCTAGTAGTGCAGTTGCTGGATGGTAGAGTGTTGTATGTCAGTGATGAATCACTAAATTCTACACCTGAAACTAATATATGTTTACTAGCTGGAATTTAAATAAAAACTTGAAACTATAAAATAAAGTTTAGGTGATAAAATGGAAAGGACATGTTGACAATTTGACTAGACATGGCAGGTTAGGAATGAGGTGACACTAAAGGTGATATTTTGGGGGCACCTGAGTGGCTCAGTTGGTTAAGCGTCCAACTTCGGTTCAGGTCATGATCTCACAGTTCGTGGGTTCGAGCCCCATGTTGGGCTCTGTGCTGACAGCCAACTCAGAGCCTGGAGCTTGTTTCAGATTCTGTATCTCCCTCTCTCTCTGACCCTCCCCTGCTCATGCTGTCTCTCTCTCTCTCTCTCTCTCTCTCTCTCTCTCTCTCTCAGAAATGAATAAAACATTTAAAAAAAAAATAATAAAGGTGGTACTTTGTTTTCTGATTTGTGTAAGAATGGCATCCTATAGGAAGGAAGCTATATTTGGGTTTAGATGTGTTGAATTTGAGGATGTTTCCATTCAAAGATAAATAGAGAAGGCCATAAGGATACATGGGTCTAGAACTGTAAGGAGGAGGCTGAGTCAAAGATATAAATATAGGATTCATTCTGTTGTTAATAATTACTGAGGTTGTCTGGGAAGAGAGTGTACAACAAGAAGAGAAGGCAACTTAAACTGAGCCCTGAGGCTCTCCCAGCTTTGCTGTCAGAAGAACATGCAAAAGGGACCAAAACAGAGCAGCAGAGGAGGTGGGGAAATAAGCCAGTAGGGGAAGGTGTTGCAAAAATCAGGGGAAGAGAGAGTCCAGCAGAAACCGTTCATGCCGATGAGAGGTTAAAATAAGAATGGACTATAAAAATATTGTCAAATCTACCCAACTGAGTTTTCTACATTAATATTTATAAAATGTGCATTTTCCTTTTGTTTAGGCACATCCACTATGCTGCTTACTAGAGTGAACTGTGCAGATTGGTCTGATTTATGTACTAAGCAAAATGTTACTGAATTTCCGGTTGTAAAGATGTACAAGGAAGGCAAGCACCCGGTATCTTATACTGGGATGTTGGGAACTGAAAATCTCCTAAAATTTATTCTGCTGTAAGTATTCATATTCTCCCTATGACTTTTAAATTTTTAGGTCTATATACCTTCTGATTCCCATGCTTTGTTGACATACTTTGAATAGGTTAAGGAGTAATGAATTGAGATCACAGGATAAACATGGGTGAGGAGAGCCTATCCAAGTCACTTTTGGGGAGACAGAAATTTTATTTAATGAGGGTGATTTTTTTAATTACAAGAGTATTTAATTGACTTTGTTTTGTCAGATATTTATCCTGTGGAATATAGTGTTTGCAAAGTTCAATATGGGTTTGTTTGGTTTTTTTTGCAAGCTGAAAAGTATCTTTAAAAATTAATTTTGAATGTAGTTATATATTCATCCAGCAACAGGATTTCATGCCCAGTGAACATAACATCTGTCCAAGAAGCAGAAGAATATTTAAGTGGGAAATTATATAAAGACCTGATACCCTACTCTAGTGTGTCTGTGCTGGGACTATTTAGCCCAAACATGACAAGAGGTAAGTAAAAGTGAACTTTCAAATTATGTAACAGATAATTTAAAAATATGCTTACTAGTTTTACTTCCTTTAAAAAGAAATTATAAATTATTTTTAAATTATAGAGAACTCAAATTATAGAATTTTTAAAATGCAAAGAAATTTGAAGAAAAAATTAAAAGCCAAAATTATTTAGAGCTGTTAAATTTTGATGTAATTCTTTCCCTCATTTTTCTGTGTACCTATATATCGCATATTAATACATGTTTTAATATAATTAGACTAGTATTGTGTATCTAGATTGGTGTCTTGCTGGGTTTTTTAGTTTTTGTCTTTTTAAAATTTTTTTAATGTTTTATTTTTGAGAGAGAGATAGAGACAGCGTGAGCAGGGGAGGGGCAGAGAGAGAGGGAGTCACAGAATCTGAAGACAGTCTCCAGGCTCTGAGCTATCTGTCAGCACAGAGCCCAACATGGGGCTCGAACCCACGAACCGTGAGATCCTGACCTGAGCCAAAGTCGGACGCTTAACCGACTGAGCCACCCAGGTGCCCCAGTGTCTTGCCATTTTTTAAAAAATAGTTTTTATTTATTTTTGAGACAGAGAGAGACAGAGCATGAGCGGGGGAGGGGCAGAGAGAGAGGATAGACACAGAATCTGAAGCAGGCTCCAGGCTCTGAGCAGGCTGTCAGCACGGAGCCCAACGCAGGGCTGGAACCCACGAACTGCAAGATCATGACCTGAGCCGAAGTCGGTCGCTTAACCGACTGAGCCACCCAGGCGCCTCTGTCTTGCCGTTTTTATTTAATATTACATGGGTGCATTTTTTCCATGTGTTTAGTAGTCTCCAAAAGCATTATGGCTGTATATTTAGATGAAAATACTGTAATTTATTTAACTATTTACCAAGAAATGACATCTGTTGTTTTCCTTTTTTATTTTTGCTGTGAAGAGTATTTTTATTTATGCATCTTTGTATGGAATTTAGTCTATTTAATGGATATATGTTCCCAATAGGAGAATAACCATGTTTTCTATAAGCTGTGTGTTATATGTGTTAATCATTTTTTAAAATGGGTTTTTAGTGCTTGTCTGATGAATTACTATGAGATTTTTATGTATTAAGGATATTAAGTTCTTGTCATTTGTTTCAGTTATTTTCCCCAGTTTGTGTCGTTTTTAGCTTTAATATTTTTATATTTAGCAGTTTAAAATTTGTTTTCTAATCTGTTGATTTTGACATTTCTTCCATTGATTTTAATTATAGAAAATCTCTATCATCTTTATCAGTTAATATTTACCTGCATATTTTCTTCTTGCTTTAATTTATATTTTTTACTCTTATTTATATTATCTTCTTGCTTTGAATATTTTTTCTTTTTTTAAATTGTGATAAAATACACATAACAAAATTTACTATCTTAACTATTTTTCACCATGTAGTTCACTAGCATCAAGTATATTTATATTGTTATACAGCTAATCTCCAGAACTTTTTCATTTTGCAAAACTGTAGCTCTGTACTTGTTAAACAACTCTCCATTTCCCTGTTCCCTAGCCCCTGGCAGCCTCCATTCCACTTTGTATCTCTATGAATTTGACTATTCTGGGTACTTCCTATAAGTGGAATCATACAGTATTTGTCTTTATTGGCTTGCTTACTTAGCATGATGTTCTCAAGGTTCATCCGTGTTGTATCATGTATCAAAATTCCTTTCCTTTTAAAGGCTAAATAATATTTCATTGTATGTACATAGCACATTTTATTTATCCATTCATCTGTTGTTGGGTTGTTTTTGTCTCTTGGCTATTGTGCATAATGCTTCTGTGAACATGGGTCTTCAAATATCTCTTCAGGACTCTGGGGCGCCTGGGTGGCTGAGTCGGTTAAGCGTCCGACTTTCGCTTAGGTCATGATCTCGCGGTTCGTGGGTTCGAGCCCCACGTCGGGCTCTGTGCTGACTCCCAGCTCAGAGCCTGGAGCCTGTTTCCATCTGTGACTCCCTCTCTCTCTGACCCTCCCCTGCTCACACTGTCTCTCTCTCTCTCTCTCCTAGAAATAAATAAAACATTTAAAAAAATTTCAAAAAAAAAAATCTCTTCAGGACTCTGCTTTCAATTCTTTTAGATATATACCCGGAAGTGGAATTCTGGGTCATATGATAGTCCTATTTTTAAATTTTTGAAGAACCACTATACTGTTTTCCCTAGTGGTTGTACCATTTTATATTCCCACCAATAGTATACAAGGGTTCTAACTTCCCCACATCCTTAGCAATACTTGTTATTTTCCGGGTAATTTTTTTGATAGTAGTCATCCTAATGGTTTTGATTTGATCATTGTTTTGATTTTCACTTCCCTAATAAGTAGTGGTATGGAGCATCTTTTTATGTTTTTTTGGCCATTCTTCTTTGTAGAAGAAGAATGTATATCTTCTTTGGAGAAATGCTTAGTCAAGTCCTATGCCCATTTTTCAATTGAGTTGTTGTTGAGTTGCAGGAATTCTTTATATATATGAATTGCATATATTTCTATTACCTGGAATACCTTTCCACCCTGTTGATTGTGTTCTTTGACTTTTTTTTCTTTTTAAGTCCTTAACCATTTAGATATTTTTGTGCATGGTAGGAAGTTGGGGGCCAACTTTTTTTTTGTCTAAATAGTTAATTATCCTTTTTTGCCCTCTTGTTTTAATTCCATCATCACCATATTAAATCCATGTCTGTATGTGTGTATATATATCTGTTTATTATTATTATTTTAATATAATTTATTGTAAAATTGGCTAACATATGGTGTGTAAAGTGTGCTCTTGGTTTTTGGGGTAGATTCCTGTGTTCATCACTTACGTACCACACGCGGTGCTCAGCCCAACATATATATATCTGTTTAAATGTTTTCTGTTTTATTCACTTTTGGTCTCCCTATCGATACCTAATTTATTAGTTTTATAATACATGTTGAATATATAATTGGGTCAACTCTCTTGTTTATCTTTTTTTGCCTATTGGCTCTTCCAGGTGAACTTCGGTCATTTACACATATTGTCTAAACTTCTTTTATATCTGTCGCTTGTTTTATGCTTCACTATTATTTCTTTAGTTAGTCTACATGTAGTATACTTCTTTTGGTTTTATATTCTCCATGGCTAAAGAAGATGTTATTTAAAAAAAAAAACAAACAAAAATATTGGAATCTTAAAGGCTATTTCAATGATTTTGAATCCTTTTTTGGAAGATGAGGATGCTTTTAATTTTTTCTGTCATCTTTTTCTCTATACGGGCCTCTATAGTCTTGTATTGCAACTCATATTATCATTATTCTTGAACTTTTTTGCATTATATATTTCTCTTTGAAAATTTTTTGCATTTTCCTAGCATTTTATTATGAAAAATTTCAAACATACAGCAAAGTTGATTTTATAGTGAACAGCCATATACCTATCATCTAGTTTCTACTATTAGCATTTAACTTGTACTTGATTTAGCACATGCCTTTGCATCTATCCATCCTTCTTTCATCCATCAATTAATTCATCTTATTTTTGATGCATTTCAAATTAATGTTTTTTCCTTTCAGCTTTGATACATTACTGATAGCAATTAATTTTACCTTGTTCGTTTTACATAGCATCATAGACTATAGTGTTCTTTTAATATCACAATTTCTCTATTTTTAGACTATTTTTTTCTAGCTCATAGGAATGTTTTACAGCAAGCTTTAAAGGAAGGGTACATAGGGCATTTTTCCTAACCAGTAATATTGCTTAGAATGTTATTCTTTTGCCCTTGCATATGAATGGCTTCTTGGGTAAGGGTAATAAAACCCTTAGTGTTTGTTTTTTTTCATCACATTAGCTATTGGCATTTATTTAGCAAACCTACTCCCCTATTTTTCTTTCATTGAAGATGAATTTCAAATTCTGAATAAAATCTTTTAAGGATATTTTTATGGGAAGAATATCCCCATATCTAGCATCCAACTTACAGATAGTGGATACTGTTAATTACTTATTAAATTTTGCTTTCTACAAATTTCTGTCTAGTAATTTTCCCCCTCTACTTGGTCTTCACAATCTTTTAAAATAAAAGCCAACATAACTTACTAGAAAGAAATAATGAGAATATGAATATGTGTTCTGTGACTTCCTATCTTAGAAGGCAAAATCCTAGAGGGGATAGCTTTTTCATTTGTATTCTCTATGAAAAATTGTGAAGTGAGGAGTCTGTGTTTTACTCCTGTACCTTTGCCTTTCCAGTGTTTTTGCTTCCACTGTTGACTTTGTCTTCTATCTACCCCTGGTGCCTGGTGCGCTGCAGGTGCCATCTATTATTTACTCTGGGCCTCCTTCCAAAAACAATTAAGGGCTTTGGATAATAAAAAGCACAAATAAAGTCATTAAAACAAGAAAAAGGGTTAAGCCATAAAAGAGTAGGGAATAATTATGTAGCATATTTAAAAAAACACTGCACTTGATCATAGAACTTAACCCTAAGCAATCTGGCAGCAACCGGAAACAGAAAGTTGAAGTTTTTGTCAGCTTATCATCATTGTATAGTAAATGGCAAGCTAAAAGTTAAGATGCTGACTCATCCACAGAGAAAATTTATCCCTGATTGTAAATGCTGAGAGGGATTTTTCATATATTTTTTATATATCAGCACAGGGAACAGTATACTTTATGATAATCCTGTACAAATCGTAAGATTTACATGTAATTATCTCTCAACACAAGTCAAAAGTATGGTGTTAAACTATATAGAGACTGTTCTGGTGTGCCAGAATGATGTAATCTGGAGGTGATGCTTTTTTATTATTTCACTACATTGATTGTTCTCAGACTTTTCAGTCAGGTATTCATTTCTCTTTTTTTGTTGTTGTTGCTTTTTGCAGATGTCCAGGTGATAGCTACTGGACTTTCAATATCTATTGAATGAGAAAATATGTAACAATAAAAAGGCTACTATGGATTCATTAACATTTTATGTACATTTACATTTTGTTCATAAAGCTGACTACTGACATTTACTGAGCACTTATTTTATATCAGATATTGATTTATTGTTCATGTAGATTCTAATGATTTAAAAATTAATATAATGTGAATTCCATGAGGGCTAAAAGGTCTCTTTTGTCCATTGTTGTATCTACCAGGTCTCTCTACTTTTTTTCCATCTGTAATTAATAGTATGTTGGGGGGATAGAATTTAAGATGTCTTAAATGTCCTGTTTCTCATTGTACTTTTGCACTCCAGTTCTAGAATCCATTGCCTGAAAGAGCTATGACTATGATAGGTGTCCAGTAGAAAATTTCTAACTCCCTATGTGTACTAAAAATAGTTCTACTTCTGTAAGAGCTTTTCCTTCTCATTTGTTTGTTTTTCAGTATGGACACCTGAGTTCTTATCCAGTGGGTTATAATCAGTTACAATCATTCATTTGCTAAAGTCTCAGATTCTGTCAGTGGGAGCCCCTTCAATCTGCCTCCTGTGTCCTTTGGACATGTCTCCATCATTCTTTGAATATGTCCTTTTGGCATAAGATGTTCCAAGTTTTGTTTGTGGAATCAGCCATTTCTCCAAGGTCCTTTTAGTGGGACACTGAATTCAGAAACCAAGATCTAGGGATTAGGAGTGCTTTTAGTTACTGGAGTGTTCATGTTTCTCAACTCTTATTGATAGAGCTAAAAAATAAGTGTGTATGTAGTAGTATGTGTATATATGTGCTTGTATAAGTGCAACTATTCAATAAAATGTAGTGGGAAAACAGTATCGCTAAACTACTGTATTTATTTTATGCAGTTAAAACATGTTTATAGTTACGCAACTAAATATTGTAACTAGTATTACATCCCAAATATATTTATTGTGATTTAAAAACCCTTTATTTAGATTAACAGATTATATTTTTATACTTGGGACTTGCAATATATTCTGACATACATGCAGTTTTCACCAAGGAGGAGAATATGCTTGGTTTTAAATGTTCAGAGGAAAAATGACAGTCTGGTTTAGTAGAAACCAGTTTAGTTTCTACAGTCTTAAATGATTCCATTATGAGCAAGTAGATTTGCGAAGAGCCTTTTAAGAAACATATTCATGAGTAGAGAGGCTTCTGTGTGAGGAAAGTACATGGAAATATTAGTGTAGTTTTCCACTGTTATTTACCAAAAAAGAAAAGAAGCTGAAACAGGTTCCATTATGTCATTGCTTTAGATGGTGGTCATCAATTATTGATGAGAAATAAGCTCTGTTTTCTCAGAAATGAAAGTATAGGCACTCAGTCTTTTCCAGTTTTTTCATATGAAAAAATATTTTCTGTGATAGTAATAGTTTCTCATTAAATTCATGGTTATAAATAGCTCTGAATGCTGCCTACTGGCTGATTGTGCCACTTAAGTAAATTGGCTTTCCTGTAGTGTTTCTCAGTCTTGTGGAAAGTATGCATCCTTTTTAGAGAACATAGCCTTGTGGTTACTTGATGGTAAGAGTGCTGATTCTCACACCAGGTTACAGTTGTGACTGCTAAGGTACAGATCTTTTGGGTTCAGCATGTCCAGAGTAAGAGGTGCTTTATGACTCAATTCTTCCATCATTAATTTTCTGTTTGGACTGCCATGAACCTTCCTTCTAGTGAGCTAAGTTATCATTTGGTCTTCAGCTGGCAAGAATACATCATTTATATAAGTTTATTTCTGCTCTTTTCTCATTAGTCTATGAGTATTTAATTTAGAGTTGCTTTTTTGTTATAAGATAGTCATTAGTCATTAACATAATCCAGAATATACTATTACTCATGACTCTGTATTCAGAAAGCTACAGAAACAATTTTTAAATATCTAACAAATGAGAAAAGATTGATACATAAATTAATCAAGGTTCAAAAGTAACAAAAACAGATTACAGAAAATACAGGAAGTGAAAAGACACAAATCCCTCATAATTGCAGAATCCTAACACAGACCCTGTTGAAGTACTAGAATTTCTAATCTTCTATTTTTTGTGTGCATATAGGCACTTTTAGATTTTGTAATGATAATGTGCACATTATTTCACATATCTGCTTCTCTTTCCAAACTATATATAAGGCAACTATCTCTACCCACCTTAGGGTGTAAATTAGAAAGCAACAAATATTTACTCAGTAACTCTATATGATTAGAGTGCTATAAATCTACACTTGATCTTAGCCAAAAGGCCAAGAAGCGATAGAGTGCAATAAATAGGATAAATCACATTTAGAGTACATTTGTTTAGGGAACCATAATTGCATTATATCAATTTGCATTTCTGTAGTAATCATATGTCATAAAAAGAACACAGATTTTACAGCCACTAAGTTATATAAGATCTGCCTGTAAATATTTATCTTTATGATTAATTGATAATAAATCACAATCATTTATAAATCTGTTCATCAGTTGAATAGCACACATAAATTTAAAGGTTTCAGATTTTTGTCTTGTCTATATATTTATAGCAAAAGAAGATTTCACTGAGGCAGGAAACTACCTAAGAGGATGTGTTATCACTGGAATTTATTCTGAAGAAGATGCTTTGACACTGTAAGTTTACTGGTCTTCTAATTTTAGAGAGGAAGAAGTTTGCAAAATAATATATTGCTAGTTTTTACACAGTTGAAGGAAAGTAGGGCAGTGACATAACTATTTTTATTTTTTATTATATTATTATTTCCTTCTAAGAAGATCTGGGCAGTAGCATCTGGCTCTTTAGAATTCTTAGATATCATTTTGCTTTAGGCTAGAGCCCCTACAGGGGCAACCTTGGACTCATAATACTTTACCTTCCTATAAAAATTTTTCCTCTTCGGGTTCTGTTATTTGCAACTTTGGTTCTTTGGAATTGTCATAGTTTTGGGGGGAATTTTACTTCTTGAGTGTCTGGGTTTTGATTTGCCACCAAGGTATATATAAAAATGAGAATTTCCCGATATTTCTCTCAGAGTTTTAGGTGATGTGACTGTACCTGACAATTCTAGTTAATTCTAAGTTATTGCTCTTTTAGCCACATAAGTTGCTTTATTTGCAGAATGTGGAATGTTTGTGAACTACCAAATATTTCACTTGCTTCAAAATGAAGGACTGAACTGAACATTTGGAGATTATTACATATACAATACATATAGTAATACATATATATCACATTCTGCATTAATGGCTTGTTTTCAGGTCCAGATGAAGTTGGTAAGCCACCGCCCCCCCCACCCCCCCAGTTTATCTTGCTTATCATAGTATTCCTAATTGTGATTTCTGAGCTTAAATCTTTAATCATGAGCACTGGTGACATATACTTTTGAAGATCAAGCTCCATTTCCGTCCATGAAATTCATGACTTTTGAAAAGGAAACACTGATTTCCAGATCTTTAAGAAATAAGAGACCTATTCACCTGACACATGGACAGTCACCCACTACCTTCTGTTCTGCTGTCATTGTGCATTTAGCTATGATCCAAAGAGCTAGACCAGCTGTTTTCAGAGTATGTTTTTATTTATAACCAACTGATCAACCTAAGAGGTAATCTGAAGGCTGGATCGTCCACTAATGCTTATAATATTATAATGTCTATACTTTGTTCTAACATGAGTTAAGATTTTATATCATATAAATGTGACTACTTCATTGTAGTTTCACACAAATCATTTTTTTCTGTTTAGTGATTTCCCTTTAAGTTTAGTTAGCAAAAGTTGTGGTAAGAAGGAGCAGATTTGGGCTGTGTTATAGTGGACGGAGCACAGACTTTATATCTGGGGCACCTCAGTTTGAATCCTATCTCTGCCACTTATCACTTTGAGTCCTGGTTTTCTCATCTGTAAAATGGGGGTGATAGTGGCATACATTATAGGGCTGTTCTGGGGGTAAAATGAAAGCTAAAGGCATCTACAAGAGTGCCTGGCAAATAGTAGGTTTATAATAAATGCTTGTCTCCTTGCTCAGCAGTATGGTGAGCAGTCCAAAAAGGTTGAGAACCATTCAGTATGTTCCTAATACTATTTAGACATTTTCTTGATGAATAAGTTGTCTAGAAAAAAAAGAATCTGTCTAGATTATTAGCTGTTGCTTTCTTTTAATCTAGGTTGTCAAGCTCCTGAATTTCCTCAAACAGCCTCACATAGAAGATAAATTTGCCTGTAAATTGAGTTCATTTCTTCCTTAGTAGTAGGGCTTCTCATTTGCTGCCTCCCCATCTGACCTCTTGGCGTAATTGTTTGTTTTTGATGACTGGCTATATTTTATTGGAAATTTTAATACTGCATTTCTCCACAGGTCAAATAAATATGCAGCAACACTTCCAGCTCTGCTGCTAGCCAGACACAAAGAGGGCGAAGTAGAGAGCATTCCATTAGCTAACTCCCGTGCACAAGACATAGTTCAAATAGTAACCAATGCATTACTGGAGACATTTGTGAGTATATTTTATAATAAGGACGTTATTTGAAATATAGAATCTAGAGGAGTTAAAAATAGCATATTTTAATACACAGTTTTCCAGCTTTTGTTGGCAGAGGGCATGATGTTTTGTGAGCTGAAGATTCATTAGGTTACTCTGTTTTGTTCACTCATTATGAATATAGCTTTTATAGTCCACTGCCAGAAGTTTGCATGTTTTTGGATTATTTTTGCATTGTGGTGACTTGTGTAGCTGATGGCCAGTTGAAGGAGGTACTCGATCTTGGCTAAAACTTGGTATAAAGCACATGGATTCTGGAGAGAGAGTCAGACTGCCTAGGTGCAGATCCTTGCTTGTTTCCTTACTGGATCTTCATTAACTTCTCTGTGCCTCATTTTCCACATGTGTAAAATGCAGCTGTAGTAGCACCTGCCGAAGAGACTTATCATGAGGACCAAATGAGACATATGTAGTTTTGGGTAGTGTTTGGCCACTGGTAAACATTAAACAGATGTTAGCTAGAATTCTTATTTATACAGTTTTAGAACAAAACAGTGTCTTATGAAAGGCCTTTTCCACTGCTCCCTTTGAAAATAGTGGACTCAAGGACTTGACAGTTTTAATATGCATTTCTTGATTTTAGTTATTTTTGCATTTATATTAAACATAGCTAAAATATAACAAATTTATGCTTTTCTATATTTCTAAAGTGACATAAGCATTATAATCAGCAATAAATAATGAATATCCTCCTGTTATGTTTCTTGCCATGATAATCTAAATGACATTACATTTGAGGCTTAAATTAATGGCTGTAGCCTTTATTAAGTCTTTTTGGTTCTGTTCCCTCCCCTACCTCATTTAAGTTACAGGTTATAATTAGTCAAATCATTAATATTTTCATGATGTAGTTTTCCAAATTATTAAAGTAGCATTTTTGTCTTTAATGACATATTAAATGAATATTTTTTTAGCCATAAACATAGTGTAATATTTTGGAATTATTATAAGACTTTACCTTTTCTCTCCCTCATAATACAGAAAGCTATGAAAGAAGAAAATTGAAGTCAACTGTAACCTCTTTAACCAAATTTAAATTGGGAGAAATATTTTCCCAAACTTAAAAAAAATTCCATGTGTATATATGTGATTGTGTTTTTATCTTAAGAGATATTTCCATCAAGAAATGAAGATACACATATTGTTTTTTTAGAGTCTACATAATATTCTGTTGTACTAAAAAACCACAAGTTATTTAATTTCCTGTTGATGAATATTTGTCTTTAGTTTTGTTTTATTCAGTGACCAACCTTGAGGATAATCTTTGGGTGTTTTCATGATTACATAATCATGGTAAATTCACAGAATTTGAATTGCTAGTCCAAAGGGCAGGTTCATGTTTAAGGCTGCTGATACTTATTCCTATTTTGTACAAGAGGAAATTTGAACATTTTACTCTTTCATCTTTGCTTAATTGATATATAAAAATCGGTATCTATTTTTTGTTAAGATTATATTCTTTATGGCTGAGAAAGTTTGGGCAAACTTAACAACTATCAGAATCTGTTTATTTTTAAGGCACATGTGATAAGCATTGTGGCAGTATTTCAGTTTACAATGTTTTGGTTTGCAGCATTCAACTAAAAACTGAACCGCTATAACAGAAATTGTTTTGCTTTTAGTTTATGACCTTTCCATAAATTTTAAAACCCTCAAGTGGTTATTAAATTTCTTAAAGCTACTCTGTGTTGGAGATTTAAATGAGAGGATGTAGCAGCCAGCCAGCTGCAAGCTCATCTCCTGGCCTGCGCTTAAGTACTAGAAAGACTTTTGTGTCTTCATCTGGATAGGGAAGAGGACTGGATGACCAGACAGTAAACATTTTTTATATGGCATGATGAAACTGATGACAAATTAGGCCAGGGAAATAATGCCCAAATCTGAAAAACACGATAATTAACAACATGCAGTGATCTATTCAAGGCTGTCACATTTAAACATACTTCTGAACAAATAGTTCTAGAACTTTTCTCAGATACGTTGAGTTCCTTTTTTATGGTTTTATTATGCATAAGTTACAGCCTCTTGTATATTCAAATAGCCAAAGGACACCTTCCAGTTACCACATTTGATGATCTTTCCTGTAAGTAGCAACCAAAACTATTGACAATGCTTTTCCTTCTCAAAATTCTCTTTTCCTCTGGCTTTTGCAATTCCAGACACCTCCTTCAACCCTCTGGCCACTCTGGAATTACATCTTCAACCCCTTTTTCTTCCTTTGCTGTTTTTTCTTTGGGAAATTTTATCCATACCCATAATTTCTATCATTATACCAGCTGATGATGCCTAAATATGAGTTTCTGATCTTTTCTCGTAAACTCCTAGAACTCTTGGTCTTTCTTCCCTGAAATGTGTCACCTGTGTGTCCTTTCACAAATGCGTATTCTAGTTAGTCATCTTTCTAAAACAGGCCTAACCAAGTCACTCATTTGATCCAAGATCTTCTCAGTATTCCTGGGAGCTAGAAAACCTATCAAGGCATTTTACCATCTGGTCGTACAGCCACATTTGCCTCTTGAATGCCTAAGTCTGGCATACTTCACTCCTACTGTTACCAGATGGCATGTATGCTTTCACACCTCTCTGCCCATCCCCACGATGCTCCCTATATCTGGAATCCTGGCTCTGAACATACCTTCCTCTGTCAAGATCTTGTTTTTTTCCTGAGGCCAGATCAAATACCACTTCTGAAATACATGAGCTTCCCTACTTTGTTTTCTTAGCTTAATTTTATAGTCATACATTAATTCTTTCTTGGATCACAGCAGTTTGTATACATGTCTTCTCCTCTAAAGTATGAGCTCTTGGAGGGCAGGGAAAGTATTTTAGTTCTTTTTGTTTCAGTATCCAGCATAACATCTTGAGCTTTGTAGTTCAAGTGGCTCTATCTCTCCTAATTTTTTTTTTTTTTTTACAA